TGTTATTTTCTTCTGTTTTTTTGATAGTCTGGTATACCGCAAGGGCAATTGGATGTTAGCGGAGCTGTAGTGGAGATTATCCATAGCATGACTCCTCAAGGGCTGGAGTGGATTCTTAAGATCAGCACGACAACGTCCTGTGCTCCTTTGGAAGCCGCTGTTCAATCGATGGAGGATGCTACAGAGTGGGCTAACAGCATTAAGGATGCGGCGAAGAAGGCTTGCGTATTGGAGAGTCAGCACAAGGAGATGGAGCGAGCCTTCCGCATCGCCAAGGAGATGTCCAATCTGATCATATACTGTCGCTCTATTACGTTCAACATGGAGCGGGCGAGGAAGGCATTCCTATTCTACGAGATGTCCTCGTTCCCCGAGAACAAAGCGGAGAAGATAATCTGCCAGCAGGAGAGCAAGTTCTTCATTCGCTACCATCAGCATCAGTTCTCCAGGGTGTATCCAAAGGGTCAACGCATCGACTCCTCCAATTACAATCCGATCAACATCTGGAATGCCGGCTCCCAAATGGTCGCTCTCAACTACCAGACCGGGGACAAACCGATGCAACTGAACCAGGCCAAGTTCCGCGACAACGGTAACTGCGGTTACCTCCTAAAACCGCAGTTCATGTTCCGCGACGAATTCGATCCCAGCGATAAGAACACTCTGATCGGAGTCGAACCTCTGACCATCTCCATCCGCATCATCGGAGCAAGGCATCTCAACAAATTCAAGAAAGGTTTCGTCAGTCCCTTCGTGGAGATCGAGGTGTGCGGCGCCGAATTCGATTCCGGTCAAAAGCTTCAGACGAAGACAGTCTGTAAGTGTTACAAAATCCGACAATATATATTTATTTTTTTAATATTTACAATTATTTATTAGCTGACAACGGGTTCAATCCGAAATGGAACGAGATCTGCGAATTCGACGTGGCCAATCCGGACTTTGCGCTGCTACGATTTAACGTGCAAGACGAAGACGTTTTCGGCGACCCCAACTTCATCGGCCAAGCCGTTTACCCGGTAAGTTTATGCAACCAATTCCCAATCGGTTTGCAATTACTACAATGTTTTTTTTTCTAGGTGACCTGTCTTCGGTCCGGGTATAGAAGCGTTTGCCTGAAGAATTCCTACAGCGAAGACCTCGAGTTAGCTTCTCTACTTATCCATATTAGCATTAGAAATCAGTTGGTTAGTATTCTCTAATTCTATAGCAATCTCTATTCAGAAGCACAACTATACGAACGCTTTCCAAACGAAACGCATCCTTCTTTAAAACTCCAGAATGGATTTCAATTATCCTAAAGCATTTTTCTTAATAAGATGAAGCAATCTTAAACACATTTACAACTCTTTTTATTTTACTTTAAAATTTTAACATTTCGCATGCTATTTTATATATTTATATCTTTTATGCTACTGAACATAATTTCGCAAATTATCTACATTCGAAAATATGCATTTATTTTCGTACTTATTCTTCCAAAAGTTTATCTAACTTGTTTTTAAATAACCCTAAAAGTTGTTATGAAAAAAAAATGAAAATCATAGCATTTGTTAATTATAAAAGAAATATATATATACTGTTTGTTCTATATATGTAAAGTCTATTGTATTTTAAGGAATAATCGAATAATTCTTCCAGAATTAACTTTAGTCGATGTGCAGTAAAAAACTTTCTTCCTTTCGTGGAAAATGTAACTTTTCTAGTTTGAGAATTCTTGTGCTTTTAGGAAAATTCCACCGGACAAGCTGGACATTGACAATAAATGACTAATTAGAAACGAAAAATAAAATAGGTGCTAAAAAAAATGATGCCGTTAGTTCGATCTAAAATCGAATAAAGAGCTTCAGGCGTTTCGGCTTCTTTATTTTTATTGTTATATTTATCAGAGACGGAGACTAAGTTAATAACGATATAAACGAAATAGATCTGATTGCTATGCGTACCTAAGTCTCATTTATATATTTAATATACATACAATATCTCTCTATTATTATTATTATGATGATGAAACTTTATTTTCCATCTCGTGCATTATTTACACTAGATTCTATTTTTCTAATACATACTTAAAGGGGAGATCGCGAGTGAGAAATGTGAAAGAGTGCATTTATATTTTGGGTGAAGTTTACATATCATGGAACAGCAAAAAAAAACAACAACCATATCCAAGATTTCTTCAGAGTCAATAATTATATAAATATATATATATTTTCGTAGTCGCTCAAAAAGTAATCAAAAGAAATACAAATATATTGAAAGGTTTATATATTTATAGATGCTATTTAATGTTTTTTTTTTATATATAATTATTATAATTTTTATTGTATTTTAGATATATTTTATTACTGTAACTAAGAGAATGTTTTAAGTATTTGATGTGAATTAAAAAGAAAATGTTACAAAAATTTAAGAGATGTAAAGTAATAATGTTGTTGCAAAGGTTAATAAAGATATATAAATAATTAATATTTTGTCTTACTTCTTGTGTGAATATTTACTTAATTAATCAATTTTTGTGTTAAGAAAACTAGTGTAAAAATAATAACAATTTATTTAATTAATCAATAAATACTACAGTCAAAATCAATACATCTATTGAAATTTCGAGTAAAAGTCATCTCCAAGCATTTCATTCAATTCTGCTGGTGTCCGGAAATAGTTCTCCACCAGGATTATCCTGCTCTTGTTCCCAACCTCGTACAAGCTGTTCTTCCAGGGTACAATACCGTCAGCTGGTAACTTGCTAATGTTGCTAGAAACTTCTGAATACTTGGTAATGTTCAGTGGGATATTTGTGTAGCTCACAAAAATGTACTTTTCTTTGCATCTGTAAATCCTCAGAGGCATTTTTGCTGAAGCAAGTTGCAATCCTACAGCGATAACCATCAGTGCTACTACATACAGAGACATTTCATTCTTGATCGCCTTTGGACTTTCTTCCCAGAAGCTCATGTTGATTTTGGCATCAGCCAAGTCCTTTTGTTTATATATGACTAAGGCACCAATCGATAGGAGGCTGAAAGTTGATGCAAATTGCCCTATCCTTAGGTATTTCTCGAGCATATTCCTGTAGATCAGGGTGTACGATTGTGGCATCCCATCAATGGCTCTGTACTTCTCCTCGCTGGGCTTCTGGAAAAGCTTGAAATAGGATTTACTGCGAAGCTGCATGCACACAGGGCCGCTCTTGATGTTCCGTAATCTGCTCAAGATATTCATCTTGCTTTAAAAAAAGATAATTTAAAATCTAGAAGCCATAACCTTAACTAAATATTGTAATTGCACTGTTGCCACAAGAGTCGTTAGTTCAAATGATTCAGATTTTAAAATCGTTAGTATGAGGTATTCGTTACGAATGTTACTAATTGTTGATTCATTTAATGTTTTTCAGATTGTAACAAGGTTTTTCTGTGGGAAAATTTGAGTTTTTCAATAGTTTGTATTTGTTTTGATGGAATTGCAACGCTGCGGAACGGTGCTCGGTCAACGGTTGAAGCAATGTCAGTTTTTTAAAGTTTAAATGGATGTAACCAGTAACGTGCGGAAGATGTCTTTGAAGGAAACCAACAGCAAAGTGCAAATAAATCCAAAGTTTTCGGACAAGGAAAACGAAGTGCCCAAGGGGTTCAACGCGCCTCACGTGGAGCAGAAGCAGCAGGTAAAGTTGATTAAATCTGAAAGTGTGGTGGCTGATGAACAGCATCAGCAGCAGCAGCAGGAGAAGTCAGGCCAGAAACGTACATGGACCTTAGATGACTTTGATATTGGTAAACCGCTTGGACGAGGGAAGTTCGGCAGTGTGTACTTGGCCAGGGAGAAGAAGTCCAAGTTCATTGTGGCCCTAAAAGTGCTCTTCAAAGACAACATCAAGGAGTCCAACAATGAGCACCAGGTTAGGAGGGAGATTGAAATCCAAAGCCACCTCAGACATCCCAACATCTTGAGGATGTTTGGGTATTTCCATGATGATTCTAGAGTTTACCTAATACTAGAGTATGCTCCTAAAGGTAATTACAATAAATTCATTAACATTAATGTTATAATAATCAATTTTGTTCTGATTTCTAGGGGCTTTGTATAAGCATCTGCTGCAGATGCCCAATAAACGATTCCCTGAGCATCAAGCAGCTAACTACATTTATCAGCTGGCAGACGCCCTGAAGTATTGCCACGTGAAGAAGGTCATCCATCGCGATATAAAGCCGGAAAATCTTCTGTTAGGTTCCAAAGGAGAGATTAAGATTGCCGATTTCGGCTGGTCCGTGCACGCTCCGTCCTCGAGGAGGAGCACCCTGTGTGGTACCCTGGACTACCTCTCGCCGGAGATGGTCAAGGGGCACACGCACAACGAGAAGGTGGATCTGTGGAGCGTCGGCGTGCTTTGCTACGAGTTCCTCGTCGGCAATCCACCGTTCGAGGCTAAAACCTATGACGAGACGTACTCGAGGATCACCAAAGTTAAATACACGTTCCCCGATCATGTCCCAGAAGGTGCCAGAGATTTGATTAGGAAACTGCTGGTGGTTAATCCCAACGATCGGCTGGAACTCGATGGGATCATGGCGCATCCCTGGATCGAGGGACACATCATAGTCAACAACGACTAGTGATTTCTATTTATGTGATTTTTAACAATTTTTATGTTCTTTATCTTGATAAGTTTTACTGTACTCTCTATACAAATTTCTTTCTTTCTTTTATAATAATAAACAAACACGCTATTTTTTTTTACATAATTTATATTAATTTATTCGATACTTTGATTTATTACATATAGTTTGTTTAAATGTTTTCTTACATTTACTCATCATTGTTTTGTATTTCGTTCCCAAACGTTTCTCATCAACATGTTCTGTTGTTGCTAAAAACGACTTTTAATATGACCCCGAATATCACATTTAGTTGTTTTCTCTTCCCTTTTCTCACGAATACAAAACGATTATATAATACTCTACCAATAAATAAAATACAACGAGAATTATAAAAGATTTACACGACTAGATAGGGATGGGCGCGCCTCGTATTCTCAACGATGAATTGAATTACATCGATTTTAATCTACAAAACTTAACGTTTCTCAATATTAAAATTAATTTCATGCTGCGTTGAGTATTAGCTCAACTCAGGAGACATTTCAATGTTTTGTTTCACAATAAATTCATTTTTAATGCATTATCGGACCCCACGAGAATTGCTCTTACTTTGAGTAAAACAAATTTGTTGCGAAAACCCATTGAAATTTTAGTAAAGAAACAATTTTAAATAATAATGCGATAGTGTTTTAGGAAATTTGCGCCCAGTATTCTTCAAATAGTGCCTTTTTTGTCGGTGCTTTCGCTATTCTTTTTTTTTAACAATTAGGCGATTTTCAATCGATTACTTGGCAAGACTTAAAGCCGACTTAAGTTTCGATTTAAGCTTCGGCGAAGTCCACTTGGATCGTCTGGATTCGCTGGGCGACATCCCCTCGTCCACGTCTTCTGCTTCCGTCTTAATTTCCATTTTCTGCAAACGATCGTTACGTTTCATTCACAAATATAACAGATCGATATTCCTGTTTTACTTACTTGCACGATGAGTCTTAACAGTTGCTGCTGCGATTCCATCATCCTCGTTAGATCACGCAGTTTGGTTTTGGTCTTTTCGATCTTCGCGATGATCATATCCTCGGGCGTTTCGATGGTGGGGTCAGGACCTTAAGAAAACAAACGATAATATTATTAGCACGTGCTTGATTTGTAGATGTGCGAGAACATGCAGTGCTTGAAAGCTCCTACCAAGGTGCGTAAAGCTCCCAAGTTTAAGTCGCCTTGGAGGAAACCTTAACTTCCCTGTAAAGCAGCCAAAATTCGTTATTTGTACGCTCTAATAGAAAGCTTATGGTGATAGTGTGATCGGTGTAGGGAAATTGTGAACAAAGCGGTGTTACCTTCTTCGGAGAATGGACTGCCAAACCACTTCTTCAAGATGGAATCCAGAAAACCGAGATTGGATTGCGCATCGTTCGGGTACTCGATTATCTCGCTTTTGTCAACTTTCTCGAGCAGAACTCTCGGGATTTTCCTTTCCAACTCGCTGTGCAAAACCACCTGTGTAATTGAAGTAATAATAACATAAAACATTAACATTTGGTGGACAACTATTTTGTTTGTTAACTTACCTGCATGGCTAATCGTTTCAATTGAGCATTTCTCCTCACGGACTCGATGTCACCGACGGCCAAACCGATGAGCAGATTCATCAGGAGGATGGGCATTAAGACCATAAAGATTCCGAGTATGAGGAAGGTGGGCATAGCGAACGGAAGAGACCTGGAACCGGCGTCTCGCAAATAGTAGGGCTGCACGTAAGTTCCCATGAAATCTATTTCGCCTAACATCATGGAGAACGTTCGCACCAGAGACATGGGCACCGACCTAAACGAGAGATGTTCTCCCTGGAATATTACAAAAAGTTAGAATTTACTATAGAACGCAGGAAATTTGATCGATTTACTCTAGACAGCAATATGTAGAAGGCTAGACCGAATGCTATGATGAGGATGGAGAAAACCATCAGCACTTTAATAAGAGTCTGCAGGATTTCGAGGAACATGACGACGTAGATGCCAACTTGATCGAAGCGCTGCAGGAGCAGCAGCAGGTTGAACCAGCTCAGGAAAACGGTGAGAGAAGCGCACGAGAATTGCAGTTCGAATATCTTCCCGCCGAAGATGGGAGTGACCATGAGGATGGAGCTGGAGTACAAGATCCACGAGACCAAATTGATGGGATCCAGGAAGTAGAGGAACTTTTGCTGATAAACTTGGACGAATTCTCGGATGGAATTCAGACTTATGTAGGCCATAATGCCCAGTCCGCTTATGTACATTATGGGCGTGATGCTGACCTCCAGGATCTTCGCCTTGTTCGACTCCAAGTATTCCTGATACACAAGAGACAATTTGTAATCTTTATTGTTGTTCTTTCCTTGAATTTATTGTAAATTACTCGCTGCGTGTAATTGGAGATGTTCGCTCCCAAATGTTTGGTGGATGCCAGGAATCGTTTCAAGCTCTCTTCGTCCTCCTTCTCATCGTGCACCATCATCTGCGAGGAAAAGCACGTCACGAAACCAAGGAAGATGCTGTAGAAAAGCACATTCGCCACGTGAAAATACTTTCCGTAGGAATTCCATTTCATTTGCAAGTATTTTTGACTCAATGGATGCGCAAGCAATTCCACACGACCGTGCACGACCATAGCCTGAAACACAGCAAGCCGCAAGTTGAAATCTACAACAAATTACAAATTGAATAAGATACGTTTAGAGCTGGAAGCGGAATGGGCTCGGAGATGTTGTATGCCTCTCCAGTCTCTTCATCCATGTCGGCATAAAATTGCGGACACTGCAGACAGGTGAAATCGTATTTGACCTGAAACACGGGACATTATTGCATCCAAGGGACTCGTTGCACCGCACCGAGTATTTACGTAAAACTGTTTAGAGTCCTTCTTGCAATCCGCTTTTTCTATGCACTTATCCTGAACGGCTTCGAAAACGCGCGGCATCGAAGCTATCAAGGCGAGAGTCACGCAAGGATGTTTATTGGATTTCAAAAGCATCACCTCTTCCGCCCTGTAAAATCAATCGATTATGTTCTTTTTGCAAATCGTCATCTTAATATTTCACCTCTTCTCGTGCGTCACCATGGCCAGAGCGGCCTCGGAATACTTGTAGTAAATGGCGTAATCCATCGCGCTCATATCCATATGGTTGTACAACAGTTTGCAGCCGAGATTCATCAGAAGCATAATGGACGACGCTTGATTTTCCATCGTCGCTAAATGCAGCGCGGTGTTCTGCAAAACAAAGCAGCAACAATCAATTGATTGATCTTCAAATAGTAATTTCTAATTACTCCGTCCTTGTCGGCTTGATCCAAGAGGTGAGAGTGCACCGTGTACAACATCTCAGCAGTTTGAGTGAATCCACACATCGCCGCCAAATGCAAGGGATTCCTTCCGTTGTGATCTCTGTGCAAGAGAGCACCGCGATTCAAAAGAAGTTGCACCAATTTCATGTGACCGTGCTGCGAGCAGATATGCAACGGCGTGAGGCCCTCTCCGTCGCTCTCGTTGATGATGAACGTTCCCTTCTCCGAATCCAACAGCTGCTTCACCGTGTTGTAACGTCCATATCTACATACGTATTAATTTAATTATATTTTTAGTAATCGATTATTCTATTAAATCTATTAATCACCTCGCAGCAAAATGCAACGGGCTTTCATTGTTGTTGTTCTTCAGGTTGATGCAAGCGCCCAATTTGATGAGGTTCTCCAAACTCCTGATGTGTCCTTCGCGACTGGCGTAATGCAATGGAGAGCATCCGCTTATGTCCTTTTCGTTTAGTAATTGCAGCAAGCCGGTTTCAGATTGCGCCTGACGGAAAACACCAATTAATAAGAGTCTTGGCTACATCAACAACAACTTGAACTAATTACTGTGTTGAATCAATACGAATGCTACTCTCATCAAATATACTCGGCTAACTAATTAATTATTTACCCAAACGCTAAAACTATGATCTTACTTCAAAAAATATTACGTGGTCTGGTGCTGATGGGCAATTAATATTTCCCAAATTACAATACGATTAATCAATACAGTTTCTATTCTGGCAATAATAAATATTTATTAATTAGATAATTAACTTCTGCTTCTGCTTAGAACGCGAAGTTTCATTAATGCAGAATTGAGTGTTTTTCTTTAGTATTTGTTTTGTATTCGAGCCATGGAATGCAATACTCGTGAGAGACTAGTTGTGTCAGCGCTCTAATTAAAACTCTTTGCTGGGCTATGAATACCGTCTCGTGTTACAAAAACGAACTACGCTGGACCCGAACACAAAACGTTTAATAAAGCATCTTAATTGGACGCTTTCCAAGTAAATGTAAATTTTGCAAATTACTTTTGTGCAAGTTGCTTATGAAAAAAAAACAATTTTAGTTTTAATATATATTCGGTGCTATACCTTCCAATGACCTACCGCTCGGTGCGGGGCAAATTATATCGAAATCACAAAATAAAGAACACAATGTAAAATCTGCTTCATCGTCGACTGAACGAGAAACCTCCATGTCGGAAATGAATCGAGAATATAGTTACCAAAAGATTACGTGTGTGGAATGACGAAGTAGAAGAAGCCCAAGCTCAAATCTCACCTTACTTACTTCAGCGGCGAACTGTTCCAACCTGCCACCGTTCATGACTACCAAGTGCAGCACGTTCCTCTTGTTAACATCTTTGATATGTATGTCGGCCTGCAGACGGATCAGCACGTGGACTGTACGCCAACCGCCTCGGAGAGCGGCCAAGAGCAGAGGAGATCTCTTCTCTTTATCCACCTGGTTGATGTCGCCCCCTTCGGAAACTAAATACTCGACGATGTCGGGATGATCGAACATCGCGGCGCAATGCAGCGGAGTCATCTTCTGAACGTCGCACGACGTCAAGCAGACGACCTTCTCTTCCGGCTGCATCTTGAACATCAACTTAACGATCTCCGTGGCTCCTTGGGAGCACGCCAAATGGACTGGCGTGGAGAGATCGTGCTGCTGTGTGGAGATCTTCGCGCCGGACGTGAGGCAAAGCTCCACCGCTTTGATGTCTCCTCCGTGGACCGCCGAGTGAAGAGGAACGTTACCCTCCGCATCGAAGAACGAGATCATCTCTTCTCGAGAGGATCCGCTCGATTCTCCCCACTGCAGGAACACCTCGAGCGTCTTCGAAGATGCGTTCTTTGCGGCCTCGTGAATCGGGTAGTATCCGTTGTTGCAAGGCTTCCTCGGACTCGCGTCGAATTGCTTGATCTGAAAAACAATTCAATCATCATCATTACATATTTCTATTAATTTCGCAGCGATCGTACAAGCAAGGTGGCGCATTCGTCCTGATCGTAGATGGCTGCGATATGAAGCGCCGTCCTTCCGTGCTCTCCTCCTTGCTGGATGTCGATCATATCCGTGTATTTTCCCATCACTTTCAGCACGCAGACTTTGTTCAATTCCGTTGCCAAATGGATGACGGCCTGCTTCTTTTCGTTCAAGATGTTCGTAGCCACACCCCTGCGTAACACAAGAATCGTAATAGTAAGAATTGCGTGCAACAGCATTCATAGTTTGGATAACTTTATCAAATTAGTTTTTCTTCCCCTTCAATTATGGGACATATCCAAATCTTTCAATCTAATCTGAACCATCCATCAACTAATATTTCATTACAACATGACCTCTCAGCTCACCAATTACCCTTAAAAACAAGTGAATAAAGTTACAAAACCAAACATTAATAACACGACTTAAAGTTTAAGCAATTCTTATAATCAAATTACTATGATTATAATAATTCTATAAATGCTAAAAACTATTTGTATTAAACGAAATACCTCTAAAATTTCTAAATGAAAAAAAAAATAGTAGAAAAGCTATAGATTTAAACTAAATTAGAGCTTCAGCAATAGATTAATAATTTAAATTACCATTAAAATTTGATTAACACTAACTGTATTTCAACACTATAATTTAACAAATGAATTAGTTTTTGCACTATTTACTTACATTCTAAGAAGGTAATCCACGGCGTCGAGCGCTTCATTCTCGACGGCCACGTGCAGAGGAGTATTTCCAGCATTATCCTTAATGTTCAAATCTAGAATAAGAGTAACAGTGTTCGGTCTCTATTTCTTTTTTTTGTATGAGTCATATTCCTTACCGGCCCCCTGCGATCGGATGAATTCCAACACGGGGATGCGATTCCTGAAGGCCGCCTGATGAGTGCACGAGCGACCCCTGTGATCTTGGATGAGCAGTCTCGTCGTATCCGCATAGTAAAGCTTCTTGAACGCATCTAAATTTCCACTTTCCGCCGCCTGATAACAACATCAACAGTTTAATTATAAGTATTTACATTTCAATATGTACTACTAAAACTATGCAAACAATAGTTTAACTAGTTAGAAAAACAAATCCACTGTATTTTAGACTGAAAGAAAATCATATGTTAAAGTTTCAATATTACAATTCTACATATTCTAAACAATAATATTTGTATTCCAATTTTTTAATGTTCAATACATTCTAGAGGAAAAAACAATATATGAAAATTTCAATATTAGAAATAAGTTTTTTTTTGTCTTTAAAATTAAACTAAATATTTACTTAGAACAATTAGTTTATAAATATACTTAATTAAGTAATACTAATATTTGTATATTAGTAGAAGTATTCATTTGATTTTTCCAAAAAGATACGAAATATCTATTCTATAAATGTGAATTCGCCGGCTAACGAAAGTAGTTATTATTACTTTTCTTATTAAATCTAGAAGACTAATTGTAATATTTATTTGCCAAAGTTTATAAATTTTTCAAATATTGATATTTTTACTATTCCAAGTCCAAATAACAAAACAAAATACGTAATTATTTTTTAATTCAAAAATTCTAAAGCACTCATTAAATATTGATTAAACGTGCAGAAATAAATATAACAATTAATTTATCAAATTTTAAATTAATTTAGAATTAAAAAGTGGAAAATGTGCATCTTACATTGTCCTGAATTCGCGAATATTTTTAAAATGAAAATTTCAAATTAATTAAGTTTTAAAAATTTAAATATTATGAATTTTATGACTGTGTTGCGCATTTTATTGGTATTAATGTTGGCAGATGTTCAAATTTACGTTGTAAATTGAGGATTTACGTGGAAATGAAAATCGTGATTTACGGTCGTAATAAAATTGCATCTGACGTGCAGCAAATGGAAAGCACTTGGAGATCCGTTAAGTAAGTTTTGATTGGGTCTTTCGATGTTAAAGTTTTTAAGTGTTTAATTATTAAGTGTTTAATTGTTAAGTGTTTGAAGGAAGAGATGCGTATGTGAGGTGTTTTACCTCGATGAATTCGGCGGCGGAGAGCTTTCTCGAAGAATTGTTCTTCTGCAGACCGAGCACCTTCGTCCATTGTTTGGCCATGCGAATGGAGCCGCTCATCCCATTCCGCTTGGCCGAATAGTTATTTCTGAATAGCTTGTTGCCATACATCTCTAGTCAGTTGGCTACAGATTCGCAGGTACGTCTTGTGCTGCTCGACTGAGGCATAGTAACTGACTTCTTGTGGCTGTTGCGCCGTCGACCCCAGACTGTACCGAAATCTTCGTCGAAAATCGCACCGAACCGAACTTTGTAGCTTCGCTTTTACGAGCAACAGGAATATAATACAATCCTGCTCAGGTAAACCCTTAGAATGTGGATCACTTTAACCGAAAGTTTACGCTTTGCAATACTTCTGCGTATGGGAGAAGTATTCTGAGTGAGGATTCTTCGCGTTGCGGATCTTCGTTCGCTACTGCCGATCCGCACTCGATTTACCAGCGTTTTGTGCTCGAACGCAAACTGCTTTTTTTGTTCGTGCTTTTGAACGCGCGCCGAATCACTTCTTCATCAACTACAAACTACATTCGAATCAGTTCTTCGAACAACAATAATTAACATTTATTCTTATATTTGATCAATTTATATTCATATGAAGCAAACCTTTAAAATTTCTAATATTTATTTAATTAAAAGAATAACAAATTTTAAAATTCATTCATTATTGTTTTTTTTTTCAAAACGTTATTATTCTTAATGCAACTGCGGCCTCAATTTTAAATATGAATTAGTCATTTCCATTAATTTCGTAATACTATTTGGTGGATGCGCCGGGTAAATAAAAACATGAAATTTGACATTAACGAAACAAGGAAAAACTTTTTACAAATTTAAACATGAATATTATTTGTAAATGTCTACAATATTGTTATTTAGAGCAAAGATATATTAACAGATTAAACGCAAGCATATTGCATCAATTCAAATCAACTGTGCGAACTGTATACATCATTTATTGAACAGCTCATGAATAGTCCAATTATGGAATTGAATTCCCAATAGTTTTCGTAATAATTTGCATATTCATTTGCATATAAGAAAAATGCATAAAAAGGGGAACTTTATGTAACTTACTTACAATTAATTAAATAATTAATGTTTGTAAATTTTTTAAAAATATTGATGGATGCGCCGGGTACTGCTTTTTCGAGCATTTTTAAACATTGAACACGAATTACAGCCAAACAGCTAAAACCACAGTAATATATCGATACTTGCTGAATTCCCCAAACATACAGCTTTCATATGCATCTTTTGGATTCATTCTATTTATTATAGTTTTCGAGTAAATCAATGAAATGTAAAAACACTGCTTTTTTGAGCATTTTTTAAAATTTGAACACGAATTCCAGCCAAACGGCTAAAACCACAGTAA